GCATTTCGTAGGATGCCGTTTGGTTTGTGTAATGCTCCTGCTACTTTTCAACATTGTATGATGGCTATATTTTCTGATTTCATTGAGAAGATCATGGAAGTGTTTATGGATGATTTTTCTGTGTTTGGATCTTCTTTTGATAGTTGTCTTGCTAACCTTTCTTTGGTTTTAAAACGTTGTGAAGAGACTAACCTTGTGTTAAATTGGGAGAAGTGTCATTTTATGGTGCAGGAAGGTATAGTTTTGGGGCATAAGGTTTCTTTCAAAGGTATTGAGGTGGATCGTGCTAAAATAGAAGCTATTGAGAAATTGCCTCCACCAATTTCAACAAAAGGAGTTATAAGTTTTCTTGGACATGCTGGGTTTTATCATCGTTTTATTAAAGATTTTCCAAGATTACTAAACCTTTGTGCAATTTGTTGAACAAAGATGTGGCTTTTGAGTTTACTGATGCTTGTTTAAATTCTTTCAATGCCTTGAAGAAAGCTCTAGTCACAGCTCCTATTTTAGCAGCACCTGATTGGAGTTTACTTTTTGAGTTGATGTGTGATGCTAGCGATTATGCTTTAGGCGTAGTTCTTTGTCAAAGAAAGGATAAGAAGTTGCATGTTATTTCCTATGCTAGTAAATTGATGAATGATGCTCAAATGAATTATGCAACTACTAAGAAAGAATTGCTTGCTGTTGTTATTGCTTTTGATAAATTTAGATCATATCTAGTTGGTTCAAAAGTTATAGTTTACACTGATCATGCAGCAATAAAGTATTTGTTGGCTAAGAAAGATGTAAGCCAAGACTTATTCGTTGGGTGTTATTATTGCAGGAATTTGATTTGGAAATTAAGGATAAGAAAGGACTTGAGACTACAGTAGCTAATCACCTATCTCGAATTGTTGTGCCAGCAGAAGAAGTAGAGCTTCCAATCAATGAAGAATTTCTTGATGAAAGAATTTTAGCTCTCTCTTCGGTTCCATGGTATGCAGAGTTGGTCAACTATCTAGTAAGTGGTGTTATTCCCCCTGAATTCAACTATCAGCAGAAGAAGAAGTTTTTATGGAAAGTAAAGCATTATTTCAGGGAAGAGCTACTACTATTCAAGTTTTGTGCTGATGGGATTGTTAGAAATGTGTGCCAGAGGATGAGTTTGAAGATATACTTACACATTGCCATTCTTTAGAGTGTGGAGGCCATTTTAGTTCATCCAAATCTTTAGCTAAGGTTTGACAGTCAGGATTCTATTGGCCAAGCATGTATAAAGATGCCAGAAAGTTTGTGGAGAAATGTGACAGATGTCAAAGAATGGATACAATTTCCAAGCGTAATGAGATGCCTTTGACTGGTATTTTGGAGGTTGAGTTTTTTGATGTCTGGGGTATAGATTTTATGGGGCTGTTTCCATCTTCTTTTAGCAATCATTATATTCTGGTCGCAATAGATTATGTGTCGAAATGGGTGGAGGCCATAGCAACTCAAACTAATGATTCTCGTGTGGTGATAAAATTTCTCAAAAAGAATATTTTTACAAGATTTGGTGTTCCACGAGCAATCATTAGTGATGAAGATTCCCATTTTTGCAACCAAAATTTGGATGCTCTATTGAAGAAATATGGTGTTACTCATAAGGTTGCTCTTGCCTACCACCCTCAAACCGATGGGCAAGCAGAGTTGGCAAATCGAGAATTGAAGAAAATATTGGAGAAAACAGTGGGCAGTTAGAGGAAAGATTGGTCCATGAAATTGGATGATGCTCTCTGGGCTTATAGGACAGCATTCAAGACACCATTGGGTATGTCTCCATATCGATTAGTGTTTGGGAAATCATGTCATTTACCAGTGGAGTTAGAGCATCGAGCTTATTGGGCTGTGAAAGAGTTGAATATGAATTTGAAAGCTGCTGGAGAAAAGAGATTATTGCAACTCAGTGAGTTGGAAGAGTTTAGAGTGGATGCTTATGAGAGTGCAAAGCTTTATAAAGAGAAAACTAAATTTTGGCATGATAAGCATATTCAGAAGAGGGAGTTTGAAGTAGGTCAGAAGGTTTTACTTTTTAACTCACGACTGAAACTGTTTCCTGGAAAACTCCGTTCAAGGTGGTCTGGACCATTTACCGTGACTAAGGTGTTCCCGTATGGTGCTGCTGAGATTCAAAATGATGTGCATGGTCCTTTCAAGGTTAATGGGCAGTGGCTGAAGTTATATGTAGCTGGAGAGATGGTACATCAAGAAGTTTCTTACTTTTTGAGTGACCGTGCACATGATTGATTAGCCATAAAGTACGGCTCATGACTTTAAAGAAGCGCTTATTGAGAGGCAACCCAATTCTTTATTTTGCTTTAAGTTGCTGAGCAAAATTTGGTTGATGGTTAAGTTGCTGAGCCACTATGTATAGGAGTGGAAAAATGCTCTAGGTAGTGGCCTGAGTCGGAAAGAGTCCTGAAGAAAAGCCGCATGTACCGAAGAATGGGTTACGAGGGGGAATAGGTTGTCTGTGAGATAAGTCCTTCTACTTCATAGTATGTTTGGTGGTCCATTGCATTGAAATATAGTATGAAATGTGTTTCTATATTAAAGTGTTAATATATGGCATATTTGCAGCAGAGCTTTTGTTTCTATGTTAAATGTAGAGTGATGTTCCTGAGAAACGGATCGCACACACACACACACAAGCGTGGGGGCTAAAAGTAGCTGTGGTTTGAATTTTGTTAGGTAGTACATATTAGAGGTAGTCGAAATCTATGTGTTATGATGATTGAATCTCTGAGGCCGCCGAATTAAATAACTAAATGTTTTTATTTGTTTTAATTCTTGGGCATGCTTGAGAACAAGCAATAATTCAAGTTTGATATGCTTAAAATTTAGTTATTTTTAATATCCTTTATGCAAGATTTTGCTACTATTTTGAATACATTTCTGCTATTTATGTGATTTTATCTTTAATTGTAGGAATTGTACTCAAATGGAGGAATTGTTGAAATTTTGGGCTAAAATGAAGATAAAAGCAACTCAAAAGGAGAATTGAAGATTTCATAAATTAACAAGGAAGAAATTGAAGCACTTGAAGAGTTGGAGGATTAAACAAGTAATTTTGGGATTTGGTTTTGAATTTGACCGATTTGAGCTTCTGCGGATTTTGCCGAAGAAGAAGTCTTCCAAATTGATTTGGGGTGGCCGAATAAATTCATCCAGAGGAGTTTTAATTTAAATTGGCTTGAAAAAGAATAACTTTCTTATTTCTGAAGAAATAGGGTTTGATGAAAGTTTATAAAAAGAGGATTAGGATTTTATTTTTGGGGACCAGGACTTAACCGAAAACCACCGAAGTTGGCCACTGCAATTTTCTCCTCCTGCCGCAGCCCATCCGCATCACCGAGCCTCCACCCAACTCCATCACCTCCTTACACCATCAGCCCTTCCCACTCCAAAACCAACTCCATTGCACTAAGCTTTCACGCACCACCACTGCACCACAAAAACCCTCACACCAAACTCCTTAACTAAAGCACCCAAAAACTCGTCGCCTCATCACCCCATCAACACCACAGTCTAAGCACAGCCACCTAAACCTCACACCTCTATCAACCACACAATTCCACGTTCCGCTACCATCATCATTAGAAGGGAAAGCACAGACCGAAGCATGCAATCGGAGGAACTTCAAACTTTCGGATTTTGGTCGACTTTTCTCGGGTTTCACTGTTTTAATTATATTTATTTTGACATGATGTGTAGCTAAATTATTCAGTCTAGGGTTTTGGATGTAGCCACCATACTATTTAATTTAATTTAATTCATGATTGTGACTTTTTCATTAGTTGATATTTGATATTCTTGTTTTTATTTCATGTGAGTATTTGATCACCACTTGCATGCTTTAAAGGTGTTTAACTGAAGGAACGACTGTTGAAGGTTAGCACTAGTTCATGGGAATATTAAACTTAGATAGTTGGCCACGAAAGTAGGAACACCGTCTTTCCAGCTATAGATTCTAGGGTTCTTAATGTACTCTAATTAAATCCTATAGTCACGACAGTAGTCATAGGGTTAGTTTGAGTAAGAGAATTATATCACGACAGTGAATAGTTCTTAAATAGGTGAATTGTTGTGAGATTAATGAAAGTCCAAAGTCACATATCTATGGGTCTAGTTAAACTGAGTAGTCGGTAGGTGAACCCTTTTCCCTAGATTTTCTTTTATTTGATTAATTATATTTAATTATTAGTTTTAGGTTTAGTTTAATTTAAAATCATTATTATTAGTTGTCTAAATAATAATAAGAAATAATTTTAACCTGGTACTTGGTATCCTTCTCTATGGGATCGATCCTATTTTCTGCTATATTAGTGTTAAGTAGGTAACTTTATTTGACTAGTGGTGATGAAGGCTTGTCATTCTACATTGGTAGTCGATGGTCCTTTGTTTGCTTGTATCTGGTTGTGAGGATGCTAGGTTTTGTTGTTTCTTGTATTGCGGTGCTCTTGGGCTTACTGAAAATCTATTTGGTTCTTGTACTTGTTGATATCGGTCTTGAATTTGTTTGGTGTTTGTACTTAATGGTATCAGTCTTGCTTGTTTGTTTGTTGGTCTTATGCAAACACTTAAGTCTTTCTATTTGTTGCTACGTAGCAGTCTTGGTTCTTATGCAGTTGGCTTGGTCTTGCTTAGATACTCTATGGTTTTGGTTTTGCCAGCACTGGTCTTTGTAGTTGTTGCTATGGGTCTTTGGTCTTCCTGACATAGAATGTGGTCTTGTTGTGGGTTGTGAGTTTTGCACTATTAGCTTGGTCATCCTGAATACGTTGTGGTGCTGGTTGTTGGCACTGCTGGTCTTGTGACAAATGGTTGATCTTCTTGCTTGTTGCTGTGAGTTTGATGTTGTTGCATTAAATTCTGTGCATGCAGGTACTGTAAACATATTTGATTTGTTCCTAGTTGTGTACCGTCATTGGTTCTCCCTGATCACCAAAAGAAGCAGATCCCAGAATTCAACTCTAGATACAATAATGAGGAAATTGAGCCCAGTTGATGGAGGTCCACGACGAAAGAGCCCGAGGAAGCGTAAAGAACCTGAAACTGCAGCAAAGACCCAAGGGCCAAAAAGGACAAAGGTCCAGAAGGAATAGAAAGATGTTGTGCTATATGGCCGAAAGGATATAGTTCCAGTACCGCAAGAGCAGTCCCTAAAAGCTATACATCCTGAGGCTCCAACAAGCAACAACGATTCCATTTTTAGCAAAGATGAAGCTGCTCCTCCTGAGGGTCCTGCTAAACTGGAAGAAGATGACAATGCAACCAAGAAATTCATCACTAGAATGTCACCCAGCACGTTGCTTAGGTTCATCAAACATATGAAAGAGAAAAGACCAAATAGGTCGAGGCGGTGAAGGAGATAGGTTTTGGCGCGCTGCTGGAGTTGGACATCAAGACCGTGCCGTCCCAACTTTTTATCCTCCTGGTCGACCACTTTGGGACCTGCTCAAGAATCAACATTCCCGAATGGAGAGCATTTCAAGATTGAGGAAGAGGACGTGCTTGCTGTCCTTGATTTGCCCCGCGGAAAGAAAGAAGTTGAGCTCTTCAATAAATCTGAGTGGCTGGAAGAGGAACATGCTCCCTTTGTGGAACTGTGGAAGCGTAGGTTTGATCCCAAGAAAGGGAAAACGCAATACCCTAGTACAGTTTGATCCCTGTTGATGCAAAGGGAAGATGTTGGGGACAAGTATAAGATTGATTTTGTTGTGTTTGTTATTGTGTGCTTCCTGCGGGGCTCATAAGGGAAGTCTTGCCCGTTTCTTGTCCTCAAGTCACTCAAGGATGTCAACCAGATCAAAGAGTACAACTGGTGTGCATTCACCATCAAGGCACTCATTGAGGAAGTCGAGGATTGGAAAAAGCAAAGCAACTTCTCTGGACCACTGCTGTTCTTTCTGGTAATGACTACTCCTTCCTGGTCTTCCTATAAAACCCTATAGTCTTGGTTGTTGTTAGTCCTGGTCCTTCCTAGATGGTCTGTCAGTTTTGAGATTTTTGTAGCTTGATTCTTTGTTTTTAAGTGTTCCTACCCACTTTGTAGCTCACGTACCTGGATAGGTGTCGGTACAAGATGCAAAAGCACAAGAGAGCTGTGCCCATGATAGCTTGCTAGGACGAAAAAACCCTACATAAGAGAGTGTCTGAAGAGCAAAATGGAGGAAGGTTTGGATGAGGGAGTGTGCTCGACTATCTCTGCGGTCCACAGTCAAAGGAAAAGAAACATAAAAAGAAGAAGAGCAGAGACAACAAAAAATAATCTTCCAAGACTAGTAAAGGCCAGGAGCCCGGGAGGAAAAAAACTGTTGAACAAAGCCCGCATTTCGTAAACAAATCTCATGAGGTATCAGTTTTAGTCGTACCATTTTCATTGTTTCGTGCTTGCTCTTGTTAACTTGGTTATCTTATGCTAATTATGGTCTTTGTGTTTTCATTTTTCTGCAGCTGATGTCACCTTACACGAAGCACTTCAATATGATGGCCAAATTATCAAGGAGTTATGCCGAAATTCGGGATATAGAGAAAGAGCTGGGAATTAATCCAGGACCTGTGTTGAAGAAACTTCTCGAGAAGTTTACTAGCATGCTAAACACACGAACGACAGTATCGAATGAAGCAACGGTGGATGATGAAGATGTCTATGAAAACAAAGAGTTTCAGGAGGCCTTTGAACTCTGCATGCAAGCTATAAATTGTGGAAAGGTGTGAAAGAGAAAAGTCTCAAAGAAGAAACTGAAGTTGATCCTGCCTCAGTGTCTGAGAAGGAAGACGAGAGAGCAGAGATGGAAGACCAATGGCAAAAGAAGGAAGACCATATACCAAATGAGAAGGCAGAGGTTGTTGGTCCTCCACGTCACAGACTCAGAAAAGAAACTAAAGCTGATCCTGCCACAGTGTCAGAGAAGGAAGACCAAATGGTATATAGGGAAAACCAGTGCCCAAGGACCAAAGACCAGATAGCAAATGAGAAGGTGGAGGTTGTTGTTCCTCCACGTCAAAAGAAGAAACGCAAGAGTAAAAGGAAACAACAGAAGTCTTCTCAGACATCATTTGACCTTTGTATAACTTCGCAAGATAGCAACATAAGTGGAACAGAAAGTTTGAAACAGCTGACGACGACTTCTTTGATTCAGACGTTGTAGGACTTAATGGAATAAATAGCCATTGAGTCATTTCTCAAGCGTCTGTAATCATGAAGTCTAGAAGCTGATGAAGTCATTTTCGAAGTACTCAGTTCAGTAACGGAAATGAATCTTGATGAAACACCTAATGTTTCGAGCTTGGATATGATTGCAGACGTCATCATTGAAAAATTAAAAGTGGAAGAAACGTCGGTCACTGTGCCGATAAACATAGTATTTCCTTCACGCAATGTCTCCCAGAAATTGAATTTCCCAGATACACCAGATATCAAACGAGACGAGGGAATCACAGATGATTTGGAACTCAACATACAAGTTGTGACATGGACACCGGAGAAAGCGGCTGAATCAGTCAGCAGGTAAGATTTCTCCTTGAGGCAGGATACTTTTTCATGGTTTCTAGATTTTGGTATTTGTTGTTTTTTCTTGTATGTGCTTGCGTGACAGAACAATATTCTTACAAACTACAGAATTATTCATCATGCACGCAAATGTGTACGGAGAAATAAAATGAGAGACGTTAAAGAAGTGCCACCGTGTTTTGGATCGCCGTTTTGGCTTCAGATGAAAAAAAGAAGAACGGTGATGAAACTGACAAAGCTAGAGCAACTTATACTGGATTTTGTATTGCTAGCTGGCAGAAAGGAAGAAGAATCACGGAAAACGTAAGTTTTATCTACATGTTCTTTAGTCTTTTTTTTTTCTTTTTTTGAGCCACCAACAGCTACATTTTTAGAGGGATTCTAATGATTCCTGTTTAACTGTTGCAGCATGGAACTCTTTAGGTACGGCACCATAGTTAATTTAACAGGCAAGCATTTTGGAGAATTAGGCCTGGGTCCTGTATAGAATCTAGCATCGTAGATGCATGGTGTGTAATCATGAATACACAAGAAGGGCTAACAGGGCATCGACGAGTTTTCTTCACAACCAAGTGCTTTGAAATTGTCAAGGACTATATTGCATCGACACTGACAGCAAATATAAGAAATGTTTTGATTGAAAGGATGCAACTGGAGCTTGAGGAACAAAGGATTTCTGCAACGCAACTATAGAATGCTGAAATGGTAAGACAAACAGTTCATTCCTTCCGTGCACTATCAGTTTTGTCCAAAAGTTTCTTAAATGATTTAGTCTTGCTGGTAGGCAATCAGTCCTTTCACTTGCATGCTCCTGGTCTTGCTAGTAGGCAATCTGGTCTTGGTATTTGGTTGTGCTGGTCTTGTCTAAATGCTCTGTTGCATGCCTCTGGTGTTTGCTTATTGTGATCGTATTTTTCTCAATCTGTTTCAGATATTCTTCCCAGTCTTGTACAGAAATCATTACACTGTTTTCTGCTACATCCTGAAGGCAAAAGAAGTCTATATTCTTGACAACTTGCCGTACTTCTTCAAGAACAAATTGACAAAATATAAAGATACCTACCTGTTATGGTATGTAATACTTGCTTCTTTGTGTCTTTACACGAATACATGTAATAAGTATTATTAGTTTATCTTTCTGATATAATGTTTTCCGTATGACAGACTTCGGATTTGAGTCATATCTAAAACGCATCAAAGCAAATGATCCAGGTCTGAGGGGGTTGCAAGCATTCACCCCAGCTCTCACCTGGCAAAATACAGAAAACCATAAAGACTGTGATGTCTATGCAATGCACCACATGGAGTTCTACAATGGAGAAGAGGAGGCTTTTACTGCACCGATAGCAGGAAAGGACTCTTCATACATCAGCAATTTCAGGACCAAGTATCTTGCAAGGATACTACTTAGTCCAGAAACTGAGATGCTTTTGGAAGTTGTAACCGCTTCAGAGTAATTCTACAAGAAAACAGTGGAAGAACCCCTTAATTTGATCCACGATAGTGAGAACATTGATGTGTTGTTCTATGGAGAAGAGGATAAACCGAAAAAAGACAAACCTGAAGATTCTGGCTCAAATTCAAGAAGTAGAAGCTCAAGTTCAGACTCTAAAGAAGAAAAATGTGTTGGTCTTTTCCACGAATGTTCTTATGTTGACAATATGTAGTTAGTTCTGGCCTTTGGTCTTTTGAAAATATGTATTGTTGGTTCTTAGTCTAACTTTTCGGGAAGAGACAAGTGTTCTTATATCATGAATTTGTAGGTAGTTGTGGCCTTTGGTCTTTTTAAAAGACGAATTGGTCTTTGATCTCGTTATGATTGGTCCTGTGTTTTTCTGGGGAAATATGTATCGGTGGCCTTTGGTCTTTTGAAAAGATGAATTGGTATTTGATCTCGTTGTCATTGGTCCTATGTTTTTATGTGAAATATGTACTCGTGACCTTTGGTCTTTCAAAGGGTAGAAGTGGTCTTTGGTTTCTCTATCATTGGTCCTGCATTTTTTTGTGCCTAACATACGTGACTGGAAAAAACCACTATACGTTGCTCTTTGAAAAACGTTCTAGTTTTAGGTAAATCCCAATAGGAGATGGGAGGACACCTGGGAGACGGATGCTAGAAATATTCTATGGCATGTGCGAATAGCCAGTCTAACGAACGAAAGGGTGGTGTTTAAAGAACAAGAATTGTCTTTGAAAGCCCTTTAGAAAAAAATGGATAGTCAAAAAAATGGATACACGAATTGTATGCTTTTGTAGAGATAATCAAATGCTTGGAATCAACTGATACGCAAGAATATATACCCTTTTTGCAGGCATTTCTTACTCATTTCTACTTATAATTTAGTGTCAATTAGTTTGGAATAGTTTGCTTTTGGGGTGATTTTGCAGTTTAGGTATCTCAAGGGGCCAATATAGAAAATTAGAATAAATGAGGGTCAAATTGCACTAAAAGGCATAAAAAAAAGACTGGATTGCTGGAATTGGAGTGACTGATCAGAGCTGGAGCAAGTGGAGAAATCGTTGCTAAGGAAGGAAGATTGATAGCAGATGGATGCAAATGGAAGAATCTGCTATAGCATACGTAATCTGGAGGAAGAATGGTAGCTGCCCTGCTACCTGATTCCTGCTACAGTAGCCGTTGCTGCTGTCAATCAAAGAGGAGCCACTAGCTAAAATCTTGGTGCCCAAGGAAGGAAATTGCTTTGCCATCACTGCAAGTTGTTGCTGTTGCAAGTGGAAGAAGAGAAAGAGGGAGAATATGTGATAAGCAACAGCTGTCCCTCTGCTACTTACCCACTAATGCTGCTGCTGAGTTGATGGATTGGCTGCTGCAGAAGGGTGAGTAATGGCATAGCAAGTGACCCAGGAAACAAGGAAGAAAAGGACAGAAGATTCAGGCTGAATTGGGGGCTGAAGACATAATGATGGAAGGAAGTATGCTGCTACTTGCTGCTGCTAACTGGGCTGCTGAGGATTAAAGAATGAAGACAGATTATCACTCTGTCAAGTGGCGGACACCACTCTCCATAATGAGCAGACAGAACTGTCCCTACTACCATCTTCCCTTTCTTTCCTCTAACCTTTTGATTAGGATTCATTTCCTATCTTTTGTACTCTTTTGCTCTCATGCTTAACTCAATAAACATGAGTAACTAACTCAGTTAAGGGTTCAATCCCTACTATCTTTATGAGAAGGTATTGATTCAGTTTCCTTGATGAGGTATTGTTCCTAGAAAAGGGATTTAATTTATCTTTTAGTTAACTTAATCAATTAATTAAAAGTGCTTGCATGGTTATGAAGATCTGGAAGAGGGAACATAACCATAGAACTGCTTAATCTAGTCTATGACAGAGGAGAAAATCCACCCCTTATCATAAAGGTAGGAAGGTGATTGACCCTTCTGCCTCTTCACTCTGTCAAGTGACTATTCTCACTCTCCCAAGTGATAATCTGTTCAACTAGTTCTTCTCTTTTCTACATTTTAATCAGATTTTAAGCGGTTGATTGGCGTCTCTATGGAACGACCCTGCTTACCACTAGCTAATAGTTTTAAGTAGGTTTATAAATTATTCTTTTGTGTATCGATTCCAACAACAACACAAATATCATCTCACCAAAAGTGGCGCCGGTTGCCGGGGATGGCGTAAAAAATCCTTAAAGTCTGATTATTTGTTATGTTTTTATTCTTTTTAGCTTTTCTATTTTTATCAATTTCACTCATTCACTCACTCAAAATCTGTTATTGTTACTTTCGTGAATTGATTACTGGTTTATGACTAGAAGCAATCCTTCTTGAGAGCTAAGTTTTGACCCAGAAATCAAAGACACGGCGAGGAGATCAAAATCCTTGCGAAACAGAGAAGCTGCTGCTCAAGTTCCTAAAGAATATCAGAAGAAGATGGCAGAAGTAGTAGCAGCTGATCATCCTCAAGAAAGAGAGCTACAACCGCTCAACCCAGACTACTAAGAGATTATTTTGTACCTCAAGAGGAGGAAGTACAAACTCCATTGGTGTACAATGATGTTGCAGCAGAGAACTTTGAGCTGAAAAATCAGATGATTCAATCGAATACAACCTGCTTGCCCTTTCTATGGACTGCCTAGTGAAGATCCCAATGAGCACATCAGAAAATTTCTGAGGCTGTGCAGCACATTCAAGATTCAAGGTTTGTCTAAAGATGAGGTTTACTTGAGACTATTCCATTCACATTGCACGATTTAGCAGCAAAATAATTGGACACTCTGCCAAACAATCCAATCAATTCCTGGAATGGACTCAGACAAGCATTCCTTACCAAATTCTTCCCACCTGTCAAGGTTGCTGCTTTTAAGATCAGCCATCATGAATTTTCAGCAGCATGGGACAAAGACTCGTTATGAGACTTGGGAAAAATTTAAGGATCTGATGAAGAAGGCACCTCAACATGGAGTAGAGAAGCCAATGCAGCTGTGTATTTTCTACAATGGATTGCAGCAAGCTTCCAGAGAATCACTTGATTCATCATCTGGAGGAGCATTCATGATAAAACCTGTGGATGAAGCAATCCAGCTGTTGGAGAATATGTGTGCTAACCATTTTAGATGGCAGAAGGAGCCTAGAGCTACAACTAAGAAAGCAGGAGTTTTGGAGTTAGATGCTACAACTCACTTGCAAGCACAGATGGCGGCCATCACTCGTGAAATATCAAAGCTGAGAGCTAAGATCAACAAACCAAAAATTGATGTATGTGAAATCTGTACAGGATCTCACTCCAGCTCTGCTTGTTAAGCTACTGGGGAAGAAGTTTGGTTCGTGAGGCAAGGAGATAACAGAGGAGGCTTCAATAATTACAACAATTGGCGGCCACAACAGAATAACAACTGGACTAATCAGTAGTCAAATTACTAAAGATTAGCTCAACCACCTGGATTTATGAATCAACCATTCAGAGTCAAGGAGGAAGATTTGATCAAGGTTGGTAATGTTCTTGCAAGTCTTCATGCAACTGTGAAATATATGCAGAATCAAGCTGCACAAACGGCAAGGAAGTACCAGACAGACCTGCTGGCACTCTTCCTAGTGACACACTGGGGAATCCCTAGAGAAAGGAAGCACACAGCACAGATCAGAAGGCTGAGATGCTGCACAAGGAGGTGTTGCAACTGAAGGAATCCAAGTAAGGAGCACCAATCAGTCTAGCATGAGACGTTAAACCAATGTGCTGCTTGGGAGGCAACTCATGGTAAGTTATTTTGTTCTACTTAGTTTTGTTTTAATTATCTTTTGCTAATTAATCAATCTGTTTAAGTGGTAATCAGAAAGGGTGGGAGGCAACTCATGGTAAGTTATTTTGTTCTACTTAGTTTTGTTTTAATTATCTTTTGCTAATTAATCAATCTGTTTAAGTGGTAATCAGAAAGGGTGGGAGGCAACTCATGGTAAGTTATTTTGTTCTACTTAGTTTTGTTTTAATTATCTTTTGCTAATTAATCAATCTGTTTAAGTGGTAATCAGAAAGGGTGGAATAGCCCTTATCAGAAATTTTCAGGTGAAGATATGTGTGGATGGTTAACCTAAAATGCCTTGCAGACTATGATATAATCAGAACGGCAATATTTCAGTTTGGTTATCTACACAAAGCAATGAACATTGATCTGTCTTCTCAGTTGGGGGAGTGACAGACTCACTTTCGCGATTGAGATGATTTCTCAAGATAAATTTGTAGATAAAAAGTCACCAAGTTTTCTGGTCAAAGGGAAGCAGGAAGGAGGGAAGAATGATTCAAAAATAACAGGCGAAGATGGAGGGTAAAATTATCTAGAGTAATGCCTGGGAAACTGGCACCCCACCACTCCATAAACACCCTATTCAATAAACTATAACCTTCTCCAACCTTCCGCCTCTTTCTAACAGCCACCATCACCAAAACCCTAACGCCAAAAGCACTTCTATCATTCAGCAATATAGCATAACAATGGTGACAGAACGACAATCAGCAGAATCCAGAGATGCAGAAAGATGGAGGCACACTCGATGAAGAGTCTGCCAAAGTCAGATCTAAAGAACGGACTCAATATAGGGTTTGGAGGAAGTCAAATCCGCGCAACGACACTGGGAACAGCGGATTATCATGGGAAGGGCGACATCCTTCCCAACAGATTCGTCATCTTACATTGTTGAATATCATTGGGAGAGAGTCTGTGATGTCCCTCAAAGACCAAACATCACTGTGGTAAGGGAATTCGACCACAGTATGAGAGAAGCACAAGGCAACACTGTGACAGTCAGGGGCACAGTAGTCAATATCAGTGTAGCGGCAATCCGAGAACTGCTGCAATTGCAAAACATAGGTTTCTCCCATGAGGAAACACTCCATCAAATGATGGATTTTGGCCTTGAAGAGGAGCTCTCAGGGATGCTGAGTCGGGAACTGGATGTCATCTGGACATTTAAGAGCGGCAGCGTGGGATACTTCT